CAATGAGAATTCTTTGACCACTGCAGCTACGGCCAAAAAAACCCCCACGACAAAACATTTTTATTAATACACGACAAAACATTTTTATTAATAGGAAGGCTTTTCTCAACTACAGCATTGTGCTGCAATTTCCCCCTAGATGTAGAAAATCATCTAAGTTATCATTAGCAGCAACATGTATTATTATAATCGTATATATTTTTACTATCTTGTCAGGAAATGCATAGCTAAAAGCAGCAAAAGGTATAGTTCACTGATGGCCAGTTAATTACGTGTCATTAATAAATCAATAAACAGCTTCAGTCCTGATTTTGTTTAAATTGTGTTAACTGAGCAGTTTCTCCTTGAGAAGGAATCACATTGTAAAGTAATGTAATCCTCAAGAGGTAAAAAGGTGAAATAGTTGAATTCTTGCACGGTCTTCTCAGTTTTCTCTAACTGCTTTGATGCAACTTAAGACGAAAGTACTAGATAACTCACCTATTCTAAATAGTTAGTTACTATTAGTCTGAAAGGTGTAAAGAAAAAGTTCTCACCTGGAGACGCATCTGCGGTCAAGGCCACAAATGCTCTCCTGCTTCCATGAAGTCTGCAGGGGGGTGTGCTACTGGCTTCAATACAACCAGGACCTGACCTCCTGAGAAATACAAAATATCTATTTTTATCCATTTCTTCCTGTGGATACCATGCTACAGTGAATTTATACAGAAAGCTCTGTGGTGGAAAAAGTCACACACACACTTGGAGTTCTGCTCTGAAATGAACAGAGTATCATAATATATTCACCAAACAAGGCAATCTTCCAGAAGAAGAGAAGCTGCGAAAGATGAAGGAAAAGTTAGTTCCTTGGCTTAGAAGTCATAGACTATAGTTGAGAAGAGATAGCTTAGAAGAGAAAATGCACTGGCCTCTCTTCTACTTACAAACAAATCACTGCTGTCCTATGTGTACAAAACATTACTGGTGTTATTCAAACAGTGCCATGTGATTCTTTGTTATTGGCTGTATTAAGATGATCTGCATTTCTTGTTTCTTTCTCCCATTTCCAGGAAAAAACCTCTCATAAGAAAAATCTCACTTTCTGCACCTAGAAATTGGGTTGTAAAGAGTTCCTAAAATTTTTTTCTGTTCTATAAAAAAGGTGAAAACATGAAGAAAGAAGTATCTGCAAAATACACCCCAAACATTCCTGAAGAAACTTAAAAATGAAAAGATTTTGATTTGATTGTTCTATTTTATTTTTTTAGTTCCTAAAAAGAAAATTTTAAAAGGTTATTTTCTGCATGTTGCTAAATTTTTCTTTTAAAGCTGGAAGAAAGGGCAAACATCTGCAATTACAATGTGCATCCATTTTATCAGGATAAAGAGACATATCAAAAAGCACATTTGGTCCTGAAATATTTAAAGAAGGAGCATCTAACACTATCCTCCATGTAAATCATGAGGGTTTTTTTTGTTTGTTTGTTCGCTTGTTTTTTTTTAAATCAACATTATCTCCAGCTTATGCGCCCAAGTAAACTTGCCTTCTAAATAACTGTTCAAACATGCATCTACACACTATTTTTCTGAAGCATGTGCAAACCGTATGCTTGTATCGTCAGAAGAATCTAAGCATAATACTTCCAGTTATGAACATGATTCAGGAACCTATATGTTAAGGCCCAAGAAAGAAGAGATTACTTTCCTCTGTGCAGACTTTCTTTGCTATGCTAAATTAAGCAAAATAATAATAACAGAGACAAACTATGCATTAGAAATAGTTCAAAAATAGCAGGGAGGAGGAAGAGGAATAACAAGCAGTACAGTATCCATTAACTGATGGAATACTTATGGAAATAAGGATAAGATGCACATGCATGCCAAATGAACTCCTATCTACTCCACCATAAGCAAATATACCAAAATTAATTCATGAGGGCAAGCAGCTTAAAGAGTAACACTGTAAGTATCCAGCCATTAGTTTCCTCTGAAATGCGTTTTAATTGCTCCGATCAAAACGAATTCATTTTGCCATCACACAGGTGTTATAGGCTTCCACTTACACTTCAGTCTTAGTTAAGCACTACTGAAGAACTATTTAACACAATGTTATCATGCACAATTAGAGCATACATAAAATATTTCTAACTGCTTATTAAAAGGGTTTCTAAAATGAATTCCTTTTTAATATACTGTTTTACTGATTCTGTAGACAATCTTCAGCAACAACTAATAGTTTTGTTTTTTTTTTAAATCAGTTATAAATAAGACTTGTTGAGAAGGCACACTCAGCACTACTAGATCTGTTCTCTTCCAGCAGTTATAAATAAGACTTGTTGAGAAGGCCTCAGCCTACTAGATCTGTTCTCTTCCAGTAGAGCTATATAACAACATGAGAAGCTTGCAATGATCCGCTTATAGGTACTAGCACATCATCTTTCTGATGCAACCACACTACTCAACATGCCAACCTCTGCAATCTGTCAGGCAGATTACCTACAAATGCTCCATGTTTAAGCAACTGTTTCAGAGATGTTATAGGGACAAATCCTTCAACCCTTATTCAGCCAGCGCTCCCAGTGACTGCAGTAGATGATGACACACAGACACGCAAAGATCCAGTCCAAAACAATTTTTCCAGTCTCTATCAATTGAACTTTCAAAGTCATCCTATTTATAAAAAACTTCCTGTTTTAAATAGCATTAAATCTAAGAGAAGAACACAGGGATCTGTGGCACTCCAGCATTCATTTCCATAGCAAGCGAACAGGCAAAATTTCTTAAGAAAAAAGGTTTCTTCTGCATTTTCATATATTTACCTCTTTCTGAGCTTTAATGAGGGAGAACAGAAAACGCGTTCACCGAGTGGAGCGGTCTAACAGCAATACCTACTGAACAGTTTAGATAATTCTAAAGTTCTCTAATGCTATATGTAATTGATATCCCATTCTCATCCTACCTGGTGTGTTCAGCAGCCGGGACATCTTGCAAGAATAGGAGATAAACTGCTCGCAGTACTCAGCACTACTGGTGATGGCAGAAATCTGGTCCATAGTGGCACTGTAATTGAGCTGCAGTACAGATAATTTCTCCAGGCTGTTGCCTCCCACAGAAGTCTGCATTTGCAGGTCATGGTACACAGTTGTCCATACTTTATCCTCTGAAATGAAGAGGGGAAAAAAGACAAGGCAAAAATAAGTAGAAGACACTGGAACCAAATTAAAATAAATCTTGGCCTTTGACAAAAGGTGGAGGTATTCTGCAACACAATTTGTGAGTGAGGGGTGGCGAAGAAGGGCATGCATGCATGTATACAGTCATCACGGGGCAGCATTTACTAAAAACAACAACTTTCCACAAGCTGATGAAAAGATGAAATGCTAGTTGCCTTTGTGGTTTTGATAACCAATGTGCTGCTTGCTTATGCAAAGGATGGTATCCATGACTTCTATAAGTAGACTTCCTTAAACGACCAGTAGCATCAGTGACTTGCGGAACTAATAAGGATTAGCTTTGATCAGAAATCAATTAAAAGGACACAAGGCAGGTGCTATAAAGACTTAAGGACTCCCTGCAAGGAAAATTCACTGTGTGGCAAGTTACTGTGGGCTGGAGGGCAACAGTGCTCTGCAATATTGTAATATTAGAGATGCACCAAATTCTAATGTGATTACATCATTTAATGTTTAATACTAGAACAGTGTTTTATTAATAGACACTAGAGTAAAGGTTTTGTACGTTTTTACTGACCCAAGTTCTGTCCCCTGGATAAACCAAAACCAGTGCTCAGTGAGACTTAATATTTTACAATAGAAGTGCTATATGACCCCACTGACAGCAGACTTACGGTTATAGTATGGATCTTAAGGTAAGAAATAATAGAAAGAGACAACAGAAATATAAAAGCTTCAGTATAGGTGTGAAAAGGTGAAAGGAAGAGGGAAGGATGCCCCTCGTTTTTGGTGACGAGAAATAAAGCAGGAGAGGCTGAATCTCAGTCCTTCCCACAGCTTAGCACACCCACAAAAGGAACATAAATATCCACCACAGAACAGAGGCTGTATTTGTTAGACTGCTTTAAACTACCAAATAGCAAGTCCCTAGACAAAGTTGCTACAAACGCTTTGCTGGTAGTTACCAGAAGGGATTTACAGTGAGATACCATAACAATGAAACAACACAGCCCTCTGGTTGAAAGATTTGTGGAATCTGGAATGCAGTTTAGAAAGGAAATAAAGAAAAGGAACAGAGAAATTTTCCTCTACTAGACCATTCATTATCTTTTCTCAGATGGACATTTCACAGAATTGGAACATAAAAACCAATCACCTGAAAGAGACATAGTTTTTTAGAATCAAAACTACAAAGATTCAGTCATCATTAATGATGCTGTCTTCCTGTATGAATGCTATTTTAGGGCTTGAAAAGAATATTTTGTTTAGTTCAAGCTGATTAGTTAACAGTTAACTCTCACAGCCGATACTTGCTAGTCCATAGCGTCCATCTCAAATAGCCACAAACTGAAATAGGTCAATCCTCCTCCACGCTAGTACTAGGGACTGAGAGTAAATAAAAACCCAGAGCATTCTCTTCTGCTCTACGGATTGTGTCCTTTCACACATTATCTTAAAGCTTCCTAGAAGTGCCTCAGTTTTGGTCAGTAATACTCATTGTGCATAGTTCTCCCACATTTTTTAGGGGATTTAACTAATTCTCTTTCTGCCGTTTTATACACTTCTACTAGTGAAAGCCAAGCCAAAGAAACATGTCTTTTACTTGGAATAAGAAGTGCTGAACATTAAGGCAAAACTTAAGAAATCTGTAAGAATCTATTCCAGTGCCTTGAATTGGCTTGCACAAAACTTCAGTTTCCTGGATGAGCCGCCCAAGCCTTTGCCCTAGACAGTTCACCTGTTTCTGTGGAGCAGCACTATTGACCACAGTCATCCTTTCAGAGGCACACAGAGGAAAACTTGTCATGCTGCTATCTTTGCTGCATCTATCACAAACCTAGACTTCATTCTCCAGGGAGATCATCTGGCAGGTTCAAAGAATACTAATTCACCTAACAGATGCGCCTTACAGTGGTGAGAGACCTAAGAGGAAGTGCATAGCAGTAGGCTTTCAATTCATCTACGCAGCTCTCATCCCTGTTAATGGGAGTCTCTGACTAATCCTAAAACTTACAACCAAATATTGGAGTTCAATATTTTAACTACATGAAAATACTTTGATAAACGAGGGTATACTCCAAAGTGCTTCCGTACTTCTTCACCAAGTTCACAGAAATATTCTTACATATATTAGAGTAGAGTTTGGGGTGTGTCCCATAGTAAAGTTATCTTCCCTTGCCACGATTATTCTTATCACCAGGACTCATCTTTTCCCAGATTTAATTTTCACTCCATTGTGTCAGTCTATTTTGGATTACATGGAATCATGTGGACCCATGTGTTTGTAACTGATACAGTGCAAGTCTCGCTAATCAAACGCTCAGAGATAAGGTAAGCAAAGCAGACGGATCCTCCACAGGGAGTGCACATCACTAGCCAAATGAGATGAAATTCGGCAGGTGGTGCAAGATGGTTATTATGTTAATATTCATAACTTTCATCCAAAGCTCCATATGAAACAACACTATTCTTGTGCTTAGAAAAAAAGAAAGGGGGCAGGAGAAGGAGAAAAAAAGGAATCTTTATTTCTGTATTTCTTTAATTCCACTCCAAAGGACTGAGGAAAGATTTCAGCTATCAGCTACCAAGTTATATATAGAATGCCACACAGTTTTGTTAAACACCTAGGATGGAATTTTATTGAAGCTTTATTTTGGAGGAAGGGATTGAACTAAGTTATATATTCACTGCCAGGAAAGTCTGGGTTTTGGCAGAAAGCACTGTACATGTAAGAGCTCTAACTATCCTAATAGGTACACTGCTTTAATTTAGCTTTCTCAGCCTGGAAAGGCTCCTAGGCTAGTCAGGAGAAAGCTACAGCAGTGGCATCAGCAATAGCAGCTGCACAGGGCATTATGTCCCCAAAGGGAGCTCCTTTCCCATACCGGCTTCCAGACAACCCAGCACTGATACTTCCCCTGAGGGGGAGGGAGAAGCTCAGGCTCAGGCATCAGCCCACTGGATGAAAGGAGATACAAACATACTCCTGGATGGATGCAAGTTTCCTTTACACAGAAAGGGTAAAACATCTACACGTGAACAAAAAACGCACAGAAAAATTAGCACCACACAGACAGAACACGGCACATGCATGTACATATACAAAAAGACCCTGATCGCTTTTTGAAAAAACACATTGTTAAAGTTGCTGGCAGCACTCCACTGTAGATAGCGGAAGTTACCTGAATTTTCTACGGAGTTTCAGTTGGGTTGGTTAACTTACTCGCCCCCTCCCTGAACAAGAAATTTGGTTTGGTTTGGTGAACAAAGGGCTGCTCTTTGCTCACAGAGGATGGGGCCAATTCAGCCAAATGTGTCCTCCGAACCCCCTGAGGATCTTTGTGTTGCAGTACAAATAAAGTACTACTAATAGATACAAGTTTGTTGCACCTTTTAATACACATATTTATAAACATAAGCATAAAATCAATAATGATTCATAGAAAAGCCACTCAATCTCTTCCTGCTGTCCAGAAGATGATGGGAGGTCGATTAGGGTATATCTAAGTGACGTAAGCCAACACTTGCTGCTTTCAAAACTCAATACAATGACTTATTTAAGACCAGTATAAAACAGTTTCATGAAGCAGGAAAAAAGAAAAAAAAAAACACAAAGCTTTTTCTGACAAATGATTTGTTGATAACAAACATTAAGTGTTGTGTAATACAGGACAGTGACCTCAAGCACAGGATGGAGAAAAAAAAATTACATGCGTGCGTGTGTCAGGGAGAACAATACATTTAACAGAATAACCTCTGACCCCATCCTATATTTTCTAAAGCATTCTGGGTGATCCAGGGTACAGATATTTGAAAGTCAGCCCTGGTCAACTCTTCCTTTTTAAAAGGGAAGGCTAGCTCCAATCTCATCCTCAACCAACTATTTCAGAGATTGGTTCAAACAACCAAAGGACCCCAGACTTTCACATGGAAAAAAATCCCACTGGATTACAGATGCACAGGACACTCACTGGCAAGCCTCAAAGCAGGCAGTGAGCTGTATCGGGCTTACTGTCCGCAGAGCATGGAAGCAGGCAACACATACGTGCTGACAATTTCTGGACATCCAGCAAGGTGGCCTGGTGGAAAAGTGGAAGTTGGAAGATCTGTGTCAGCAGCAGCAGGTTGGGCACAGGGCAAGTGCTGAGGTCGAGTCTTGGTCAGGGCACAGAAAAGGCGCTTCTTTGTGTGGGTGGGGGATTTTACAGTTTTCACCCATTTTTCTGATTTAGCTAGAAAGCCATGCCTCGAGGCAAGGACTGAACAGACCCCAGAATGACAGGGTCTCTCCTCAGCTGCTAAAACACTTTAAGAGTCTAACATGGACACAAACAAAAATCCTTCCCCCTCTATTACTACTAGCCAATTCCTGCATCCAACACAGTCACGCTATCGGTGCTGGCCACAGAGCCTAAGCGAGAAAGCTGCCTGGCAGGAATCCCAAACTTAACGTATTTTATACAAAAGATAGGCATTCTCTGTAAGTACAGTGATTCCCAACTATTTTTTTCCCCCTCTAGTCCGGACTGCTTGTTTCAGTCCTCAGTGCAATACTGCTTTCCAAGGAAATTGGCTAGATATTTAATGTCCACTTTCTCTTTTATCGTTCCAGTTTCTCAGAAACACTGCTCACTCACTGAAGAACGGTGTCAGCTAGAGTCGGTCAGTAATCTGTTTGAGAGTTGCTGCCAGTTTCCATTACAGAAATGATAATGCAAATAGTTTGTACTGTCTTAAATTCCTACACCATCACCATTTATGGAGTAACCCCCATGTAACTGAGAACAGAATAAGGCAGCCATAGTTAATATATTAAAATCTGAAAGAAAAACTACTCCATGTTTTCTGTTAACAGTACACAGAAACCACATTTGAGGTTGCTGGAAGTGAAAAATTGTTAACTGTAATTTGATATATATTCCTAGCAATTACAGTCACAACACTGGTATGAGTGTTCGTGTGATATGCCGGCAACTATTTTAAGAAA